AGGCTCCCCTCTCCTGGGCCTTTGAGCTTCCAAACTCAGACAGTGGTTGAGTGTGTGAAGACCTGGAGGTTCTCAGAGGAGTGTCCTGTGTGAGAGATGACAAACCCAAATCCTAATAGGGGCCCAAGAAGCCCCACTATTCCTCTCTCATGTCTCCCTTGGCCCAGGGCAGGGCAGTAGCGAGGCAGTGAAGGCCTACAGTGAGGGGCAGATTTGTGACCAGAACTGGGGAAACTCCACTCCAACAAGCCAGTGCTGGCTGAATCTTCCTACTTCAGGTTTCAGATGGAAGCCTGACCTTTGACAAATCTCTCTGTGGTGTCCCCATCCAGAAAACTGGTGAGTGATGCAGAACCTGCCTGTCTGGGAGGAGGCTGTCCCAGGAGTTTGTTCTGATGTTTTAAATCCCACAGAATGCTTGATCTCCTCAAGTCAGCTGACTCTCTGGAGCCAGGGAGATCATCATTAGTGAGTGTTTCGGCTGGGAACAGAAAAAGCCGTGGCTGCCATGCTGACCATCTGGAATTGGCTGGTCACTGTGTGCAGATCCATCTCTGAAGTGAGAACTATGTTCTTGTCATCAACACAGACGGCACCCAGTTGACTTTTTTAGGACCTAGGTATTTGTAAGGAAGCAAGATTGAGTACCAAACACGTACCCAGGAGCCTAGAAGAAGCATTGGTCTTAATTATTGGGAATAATTGTGGCCTCCAAGATATGACCTGGAGAATCCATGAAGATATTTTTGGTTAAAACCAACAGAAATTTAGGTCTTAGTAGTTGGAGCAAGAAGGAAAATTTATGAGAAGAAAATTGAGTTGTCTTATATAACAAAGTAAAGGTGGGCTTCAGGAATAATTGCAACCAGGCAACTGACTGTCCACAGGACCCTACTCTCCTTCTCATGCCTCTACTGTGCTCCGAGCGTCAGCATCCCTTCTGGTCAGCACAGAAATGCTTCCTCCACATGGTGGAAAGTAAGGACACCAACACGGCCTGATAATTCAAATCTCATGGCTTCTACAACCAAAGAGCAACTGGCATTTCCCATGTCTGTTTCAAACCACTCCTAGAGAGAAACTCTAGTAGCCAGGCTTGGGTTAGGTCCATCTCTGGACCAAAAAATTGAGGCCAAGTGTGAAAAGCTCATATAGAAGGGAGAGCTGCCACAAGGAGAAGGGGTATGGTCTGGGCAGACCAGATGGTGGGGGAGGGGGCGTCCCAGACACTGGGCTCATCCCTTCCTTGCTTCAGCAGAGATTGGCAAAGGATAGCTCCCAGACAAAATCTGGCTGTCTGTTTCTACTCATAAAGTTTTATTGAAACATAGCCACACTCCCTGTTCTCACACTACGATACCAGAGTTGAATAGTTGTGACCACTCAACAGCCAGTAATGTATTTACTATCTGCCTCTTAAACAGAAAAAGTTTGCTGGCCTTTGGCTAAAGGTTAAGACATCCTGAGAGAGAGTCCAGTGGATGTTCCCAAGGGCTGGAACAAAGTCACAAGGAGACAGCCACCCTCCTGCTTGCTATTTAAAAGTATCCTGAGAAGAACTAAAATGGATACTTGGTGCCTTGGGCTGAATTTGTGGATGTGGAACCTGCATGCGTGTTTTCCTTGTATATCCTGTGATCCTCTGGGTCTCTGAAGACGTGCAGTGCAGGAAAGACCCAGTGTTGGAGTAATGCTGCCCTTGAGGCTCTCAAGGGAACATGCCAGTTCCAGTGAAGTATAAGAAAATTTAAAAAGGGAGGTTATGGGGCAAAATGCATTTCTATCTATTTGATGACTTTATATGAGGGATAATGGGGAAATAATAAATTTCATGTGATAGCAAATTTGTGTCTTTTTTAAAGACTTTATTTTTTTAGGGAAGTTTCAGGTTCACATAAAACTTGAGAGTACAGGAATTTCCCATATTTCCCTGTACCACACAAGCAAAGCCTCCCCTATTATCAATATCACTCATTGGAATGGTACATTTTTTACCAAAGATGAACCTACATTGACACACCGTCGTCATCCAAAGTCCCTAGTATACTTTAAGTTTCACTCTTGGTGTTGTACGTTCTGTGGGTTTGGACAAATGTGGACTGACATATATCTATCATAATATACAGAATATTATTTCACTGCCCTAAAAATCTTCTGTGCTTCACTCATTTGTCTCTCCCCTGGCAATCACTCATCTTTTTACTATCTCCATAGTTTTGCCTTTTCCAAAATTTCATATAGTTGGAATCAAAAAGTACATCGCCTTTTCAGATTAACTTCTTTCACTTACTCATACGTGTTTATGTTTCTTCCATGTCTTTTCATAACTTGCGAGCTTATTTGTTTTGAGTACTGAATCATGTTCCATTGTCTGGGGGCACCAGAGTTCATTTATCCATCCACCCACTGAAGGACATCATGGTGACTTCCAAGTTTCCACAGTTATGAATAGAGTCGCCATAAACATCCAGCGCAGGTTCTGGTGTGGACGTAAGTTTTCAACTCTTTCAGGTCAATATCCATAATTGATGAATCATATGATAAGAATATGTTCAGTTTGTAAGAAACCCTTTGTATGTCTTCTAAAGAGGCTGTATCATTTTGCATTTCCACTAGCAAAGAATGAGAGTTCTTGTTGCCTCACATTCTTGCCAGCATTTAGAGTTGTCTTTGTTCCAAAATTTGGGCATTCTGAGGGGTGTCTAGTGGATTTGTGTCACTTTTCCTTTGCAGAATTGTATGATCTAACTTGTGACTCTCCACCGCGATATCTCCGGAGGTTTTCTGCAGATCCTGGGACTCAGAGCTGTGAGCAAAGGGGGTTTTGCCCACTTTGTATAGATGTCCGCTAGGCAACCTTCTCTGTAGGTGTGTCCTGGCCAACTTGAACACTTTCGGTGGAATTATAAAAGACATTCACTAATCTTTTATGGATGTGAGATATATTGGTAAGAACTGGAGAGGGTACCCCACAAAGGCTGGGCAGGTGTCCCCTGAAACACTGGTCATGTTCCCATCCCAGGGTTACAGGAAAAACAACATGCCTGATAGACCCTAAAAACTAGTATTAAGTCCTTTGGCCTCTCAGAGAGAACGCAAGTGTAGAGGGACATTTTTTTTTTTTTTTTTTGACAGAGAATGAGAGAGAGATCACAATTAGGCAGAGAGGCAGGCACAGAGAGAGGGGGAAGCAGGCTCTCTGCTGAGCAGACAGCCTGATGTGGGGCTCCATCCCAGGACCCTGGGATCGTGACCTGAGCCAAAGGCAGAGGCTTAACCCACTGAGCCACCCAGGCACCCCTGTAGAGGGACTTTTGACTCAAGCCTCTCTCCTTCCCCATTTCCTTCCCCTTTCCCCCTTCCCCAGTTCACACAGAGAGGTAGGTAAAATAAATGAAAATTTCCACCCAGATCATGGCCCTAAAGTCAAGAAGCTAAAGGTCACACGAAGGGTATAGAGCTCCCTTCTGGAGGATTTTCCTGTTAGTAGCTTGGCTGGATTCCCACACCACCTCTCTGTGGATTTTCTGAGCTGCCTTTGTCTTCTCCTTCATGTGTGAGTGTCCTTGAACTCAGGGTGGCCTGGGAGAAACATCCAGGGCCAATTACTTCTCATTCTCAGGATGAAGTAGTTTCTCTGGCCTAATCTTTCATAGCCAAGGTTGGGTCACCATGTGATTCAAACTTTCTCAGCTCCAAAGAATTTGCTGGAGCTTAGTGCATGGGGTCAGAGCTCCAGCTAGTGATACTCTGACCCCTGAGATTGTCCTCTGAGCATAGGGCTCCATCAGAGACTTCCCAGGGAGGGGAGATGGGCTGAGGTAGAATTAGGGTACTTCTGGGTCCCCTAGCCCAATGTTATCTCATAATCTCACCTTCTTCAGCACAAATATCAACCCTGATAATTATCCAGGACAAGAATGCTTCACCCAGAACCCAGAGTAGCCCACCACTGATCCCAACCTTCTGTCCACTTCTTTCCAGGCAGAGGGCAAGGAGTCATCCCAGGAATGTCCTATTCTGAAGCTGGGAGGGTACTCTCTCTGTCAACTCAAAGATTTTGTCATAAAAAGAGAGACAGAGTTGAAGATTTCATTTAAGAGAGAAAAAATGCATTTCAAGCTCATTTTCTGAGACATAAAACCCTTTCTGAGAAACTTCCCAGAAGCTCTCCATGTCATTGAGTTCATCGAATCCAGATGACTTGATTGTTTTCTGTTCACTCATCACCATTCTCAGCAATACTCACGGGGACAATAAAACAAACAGACAGACAGACACTGCTAGGAAGCAAATCAAACATGGCGCACCACACAAGGCAGCGTTCTTCTCCACTGCACATTGCAGACGATGCAGAGCAACTGCCACCCAGTTGTCCCCCAGTCAGCTGACAACCTGAGAATGACACCCCAGCATGCTGAGGTCTCTCCATGAACCCATCGTGAGAACTTGATGTGTGCTCGTGAACACCTGAGTCCTGCTAGAGGTGAGGTTCCTACATCTGGATGACCTAAGATGAGGAAGGAGCACCTGTTTTCTGAAACGTCCCTGCACTGACCACACACCATCTCATCATGGGGGTGGGCTGCAGGTTAACCATTTGCTATTTACTTCTCCTCCATAGGAAGGAGTACCATAACCAGAAGCTTCTTTCATTAATTGAAGTGGGTAAAAAATCAGTGTTCTCTCAGTGGGAAATGCCTTCAGATCTCTGCAACAGAGAGCAACTTCCTTTAGCTCTCCTTAGTAGGATGATCACTGAGACTCATTAGTCCTCAAAACCGGGTTAAGTGACCCCCAGGTACTCTCCTAATAGCTTCTTGATTTGCATCCTCATAGGTGAAAACTAGGTAAATGAAGAGGAAGTCTACCTTCCAGTCCTCAAAAAAAAAAAAAAAATAAGACAAAATAACAGCGAGTTCAGTCTCCTTCAGGCGGCTTGACAAGGGAAGATGGAGTTGTCAAAATGCAAAAAGGCAACATGAGTTTATAAGTTGGTCTACGTTTTGCGGTTGTCATCAATCAGGTGGTGGACACCTTCTGCACGTGTATCTGCTCATCACTGAGGGTGAAGCCTGATAAAAGCTGGTGGGAGGGGAGGCCAGTTGCTCAAGTGGGAGCTCATTGTTTCCCATAGTTATTTGCTGTGTTTTCTTCCGGGGCCAAAGACTGATGCACCTGTGACAGAAAGAAAAGCCAGAGACTATTCAGTGAGCAGAATAAGCAGGCTTCCCTCCCGCTGTTCTGAACGCATTGCTTATTCTTGCAAGCAGAAACATGCTGCTCTAGCTTGCTTTCTAAACAAATGCCACCCAGTTGTTCCTGAATCGGACTGCACGTTGGAAACACCTGGAGAGCTTGCTATAAATACACATTCTCAGACTCCACTCCCCCACTCCCCCACAGTCCTCAACCAGTAGGTCTGTCTGGGCCCTGGGAATCTGAATATTGAGCAAACACACCTGGCATCTTGGGGTGCTGGAATCCAGGTATCCCATGTTTTATCTCGTCTTAGACCCCACAACAGCATTTTTATTTTCTTTTATTTTATTTATTTTCCCCAGAACATCGTTTTAGAGGAGGAAAAAGGGACCTGGAGATCATCCCACTCAGCGTCTTTGTTTTACAGAGAAACAGCATTGAATCTGAGCAAAAAGACCTGGTTTGACCCAGCAGGGCCGTGACACTGTGTAACATGCGGTGTCTCTGCTGAGAATCTATTGGCTCTCACCCGATGTAGAAGTTGGGAATGGGTTTCTGGAAAGGGTTAGAACCAAATGTCCTTGCAGGGATAAAAAAGGTTATTAGAAGTCATCTATAGAGAAAGAAGCTTTTGTTAAGGGAAGATGGCTTTGAAAAAGCAAATGTTAGTGAAAGATGCTCCATCAGAGTAAGGCCCCGGGGCGAATCCGGCCCAGAGCACAAGGGCCACCCTTGTCCGGCCATCTGCAGTCTGCCTCTGAATGCCCATTGAAGGAGCAGGAGCTCTGATGCCTAATGGCTTTTGGACTCCAAATACAAGAGAAACAAAGCAGTTCTTAAATAAAAGAACTGCAGTCTGAAAGAAATTCTTAAGGAGAAAGAGCCGTATTGATGTGTATTCCTCCTAAGTGGAGCTTAATTAGGCCACACACACACTAAGGCGCTAGGGAGACACTGCAAGCCCAGTTCCCTCTTTATTGCTAGACCCAGGAGGAAGTCTGTGTGACTTGAGGCTGCCTCGGGAGCTCTACATGGATGGTGTCCTTGGAGCTACCCGTAATGACATGTAAACCCATATCCAAGCAACTTGGGTGCACCGTGCCCTCCCTGCAACCCAGTTCTTGAACCCTAGGATCTGAAAGCAAAACAGACCTTTCTGAGCATCTCACCTGTGGGCCTGGAGGTAAGCAACGTGCAGATTGTGGGCTCAGTGTGGACCGACAGAGACTTGCCTATAATTAGTTCTGTACTTCTGGGCCTTTTCATCTCCATTCCACTGAAAATTCACCATGAAACAGGGGCCCTTTGAAGAATTCTTAACCAAGTGGAATAGGATAGAGCAGAGCCTCCCTGGGGCCTTGCCCCAGTCTGAAGGATTTGTAGAAAACTGTCATCCCCTGAGTTCACGATTTCAATTTTTTTTTAAATTTTATTTATTTGACCGAGATCACAAGTACACAGAGAGGCAGGCAGAGAGAGAGAGAGGAGGAAGCAGGCTCCCCGCTGAGCAGAGAGAATCTGATGTGGGGCTCGATCCCAGGACCCTGGGATCGTGACCTGAGCCAAAGGCAGAGGCTTTAACCCACTGAGCCACCCAGGTGCCCCCTAATTTAAATTTTTTAAAAATGCCTACAGTTCACTTACCTATGGATTTCTAACCATGTGGTCCCCTATATACAGTTGACAAAATGGAGGCCTAGTTATTTGCCCTCTTGGTGTCAGTGACACAGCTGAATAAGACCTAGGTGTCCCAACACACATGCCTTCCACATCAATGTACAGATCTTCCAAATTAATTTCATAATTGTTAGTTTTTTCCTGAGTAACAGTGACATCTAGTCATGATCCCCAAGTCTGCATGGAATCGTCTAGAAGTTTTTGGTATACCTCTACAGGAAACACACCCTCATGGACCCCCACTGAGCCATACCCCATGCAATCCCTTCTTCTTGAGTGTAATTGGTACCTATAAGCTGTTTCTAATCAACAGAACAGCTCAGAGGGGATGGGCTGTCTCTTCCTGGAGTGGGTTATGTATGAAATAGTCACTCCCATGACTATTATGCTATATAAAACTCCCTCATAGGCAACTAGAGTAAAAGATCCTCCTGCCGGCCTGAAGAAGCAAGCTCCATGCTGTGGGTGGGCCACACGGCAAAGATGTGCTGGTGGCCTCTTGATGCTGAGAACAGTGCAGCCTACAGCCAGCTAGAAAACAGGACCTCAGTCCCACAGCCACCATGGACTGAACTCTGCCGACCATCACCCATGCTTGGAGAAGACCCAGGCTCCTCAGAGGAACATGGTTTGGCCGACATCTGCCTTTGAGCCCTTAAGCAGAGGATGCTGTTAAGCATCCCCCAGACTCCTGACTTACAGAAACTGTGAGATAATAAGTGTAATAAATGTACAGTCAATTCTTTCTTTTCACAGTAGTTACGTTCTACGATGTTGGTGTGAAAAGTGAATTCATGCCATTGCTCCCAGGGGAAATACAGAGTTAGAGTCCTGCCAGCCTCTTGTGATGGCATTTTCTTTTCTTTTCTTTTTAATTTAAATTTAAATTTAATTTTTTTCTAGATGTGACTTCTCTCTTTTTAAAATTTAAATTCAATTAATTAACATATAACGTATTATTATTTTCAAAAGCAGATTCATCAGTTGCGTATAACACCCAGTGCTTTTCACATCACGTGCCCTCCTGAATGCCCAACCCCCAGTTGCCCCATCCCCCCATCCCCTCAGCAACCCTCATATTGTTCCCTATGATTAAGAGTCTCTTATCTGGGATGCCTGAGTGGCTCAGTTGGTTAAGTGGCTGCCTTTGGCTCAGGTCATGATCCCAGCGTCCTGGGATCGAGTCCCACATCAGGCTCCTTGCTCATCAGGGAGCCTGGTTCTTCCTCTGCCTCTGCCTGCCTCTCCGTCTGCCTGTGCTCACTCTCTCTGACAAAAAAAAAAAAAAAAAAAGAGTCTCTTATCCTTTGTGATGACAGCATTTTCATCAATTGATCCATACATAACCTTGTTTTACGTGTGTTCCTGTTTAAAGATACCGTATTTAATGTACTGTGGATTCTAGCATTGAACTCACAGCCAGCAGTGCTACAACGCATGTCTGAATGAAGCTCGTCTAGCACACAGATGACCTCCAGGAGGCACATCACAGCCTTGAGCTTGGCAGCACCAGAAAACACATTATTAGCACAATGCGTGGGGGCCACTTTAAACAGCAAAATTACTGATAAAAATCACAAAAGTGCAAAAACACAGCATGAAACAGACTACAAGAGGACTCTTGTTTGCAGTGTGAGTGCTGAAACCAGAAGACAGAGCGTTGCCTTGTTCCACTGCCCCTGGAAATGTACACACTGGGTGACGTACTTTGCCGCTCTACCCGTATTTGCAAATGACTGTGAAAGCCTTGTGAGTACTGATTTTTTGAGGTTGCAGATTAATTGTAGCCGATACAGAATCTGCTGATAAGGAGGATAGACTATAGGTTTGAAGCTGTTAAGTGTGTGGTAATTCATTATGCGACGAAATCCAATTAATGCAGCCTCTTCCTTCAGTTACACCCGTGGACGTGTTCGTCCGCATCCCTGATGGCCTTTCCCATTCACCTTGCCCCAGATGGGACTTCTGTTCTGTACCTACGAGGGCATGAAATACATTCCATTCTTCTGCTATACACTGCTAGTTATTTGCATGGGTGAGGGAACATTCCCAGAACTTCCCAGCTTTATAAATGTATGAGGAGCCGGAAGCCTCTTCTGTATTTAATGTAAGGTCTCTGTAATAGACACAACTCATTTTCTCAGCTTGGTTTAAGCATTAGGTCAAATCTTTGCTCTTAAATTCAAATGGTTCAAGCCTCCTCCTATCCTGTAAGGACATCTTCTTCCCCTTCCTCCTCCTCTCCCCCTCCTTCTTCCTTCCCCCCTTCCCCCTTTTCCTCCTCCCCCTCCCCCTCCCCCTCCCTCTCCTCCTTCTCTTCTTCTCCTCCTCCTCCTCCTCCTTCTCCTTCTTCTTCTCCCTCTCCTTTTCTCCTTCATTTCTTTTCTAGGATTCCTACCTCCTTTCCCTGATGGTCAAAGAATCCAAGGGCTCCACTCATCATGATGCATCCATGCACCTGTCAAGTTCACCAGGGTACAGAGATCATCAGGAAAGCTCTTCTGTTCTAGCCAGCCCTGGCCTTTGATGCAATGTCAGTGGTCTCTGCCCTGCTGTATTGCTCCTAAACCCTGGCTGATGGGCCCCATCCCCTCTGCTCCTTACCGTATATTGGTAGCAAATTGGATTTACACCTCAATAAGACTGACACAGGGCCTCTCCTCTTCCTTATCTGGTCCCTCAGTGCAGATATACCTGCCACTGGACACAGCCTAGAATACCTGACAGGCCACACGTGTCTGCCTTGTTCTGCAGAACTGCAGCTCAGGGACCGCAGATGCCACGACCCCACAGCTCAGCCTCAGCTGTCTCCCTGGTATCTCGGCTGGTTGGGTTGGCTCACAGACATAAATGCTTCTCCTAAGGCTCCTACAGACCAACAGGGAGGCTGTGTCTAATGTGCTTTCTGTTTTAGTCTCAATTCAGCTTTGTCTCAGAGACCCCCATCTCACTCTCCATATATGTACCATCCCTTCACCCTCCTCATCTGCTCCTTCCTCACTCTAGCTCCTCAAACCCAGCCTGTCCTCTAAGAAAAAAAAATATATGATATGTAATATTAAATTATATTTTATAAATACTAAATATTTATAAATATTAAATTAAAATTATATATATATATATATGGCACGGGACTTAGACAAATGAAGCTATAAGAAGTTAAATTTGGAGAATGAAAGACAATACATAAAATATATTTTTTCTCATATATAGTTGCATATATTCCAAATATTATGAAAAGGGAACTTGGAATGATCTTTTTTCATAACACAGTGTACACGTTGTACACTTACACTCTA